ATTTCCAGACTCGATTCCTGTATCTAGCCAGGGAACGTCTGAAGAGTTCGAAGATTTGATTCCTGTATCCAGCCAGGGCATATCTGTTGACGACTATTTCCGGATTCGACTCCTGTATCCAGCCAGGGCACATCTGTGAGCAACCGATTGTAGATTCGATACCTGTATCCAGCCAGGGCATATCTGCATGAGGAGATTGAAGATCAAACACCTGTAACAAGCCAGGAAAACATCTGCCTCTCTCAAATACATAAAGTTCTCGCTAAGGAATCTCTTATGCGATCAACGCTTCCAAATGGCATCTATAAGCCCATTCCCGACAAGGTTCTGTCACATCTCCAGATGGCATCTATAAGCCCATCTCCCTATCCACCATCTCTCCAAATGGAATCTATAAGCCCATTCCCGACATCACATTGCTGATACTCCGACATGCGAGTGCAAATTTCCGGGCACTCTAGTGTCCAATCTCCTTTTACCCTTGAGTCACGAAAGGCAAACGTGCCAATCTAACTCTTCAGGTTCAAGAAGATTGAACAGGGGCAACTGTTGTACCCCAAAATTTGCCCTCCCATTTCCTCAACATTTTCTCATCACAAAACCCTTGGAACTCAAGATCCAGTTAGGGTTTCCTCTACTCAAGACTTCTCCTTGCACTGTGGACCCAAACTAGGGTTTGTGTTTGAACAAAGATGTCTTGACCCAAAATGCCTAAGATGACTTTCATGCTTCATGTTGGACTCCCAAGTTTATCCATACCAAGTTTCAAGTCTTGATTCCAAATTTTGCCCAGTCAATTGGACAGTTGACCTAAAAATCAACTGTATTGGGGAAAAAGTCAACTGTGGCCAATTGACAGTCAAATCTCATGAAAATTGACCCACATCAACATTATGAACTCATATGGACCATTTGATCAAGTTTGGATCACAATTCCACAAGAAATTTGATCAGATCACCAAAAGGGCAAAATGGTCATTTTTAGGGTTTTGACTGCACCAAGGCAATTTTTGACTGTTTAACCTAGCCAATGGCAAACCAAGCTCACATATGGACTCAAGGACCCCATGGAATCATCTTGACATGCTCAACAAGTTCAAAAGATCCCAAGTACACAAGATTGATAGTTGAATTTCCCAGTCAATTGATCAATTTTGACTGTATACTGAAAAGTCAAACTTTGACTTTTTGGTCAAAATCAAGGGTCAAGGTTCATTTTTCATCAAAACATGCCAAATCATGAAACTTGTTCACCAAGAAATCAAAAATGCAAATTAGGGTTTAAAATGGAAATTTTTCATAACTTAGAATTTTTCTAAGTTATGGAAAACCCTAATTTTTTCCCAACTTTGCCCCACTTTCTCACCAAGATTCATTTGGATTCAAACAAAAGTCAAAACATGAAAGTTGTAGCTTGTTGCATAATCTACAACTTTTATTCACAAAGTTTTCCCAAATGAGGCTTGTATCTCAAGTTACAATTTTTTGAATAAGGGTGCCAAACCATTCTTAACTTAGTGAAAATTTGACCTTTTTGACAAGGTTTTCTACCTAACTTCAAGGCCATTTTCCATACACTTCCACTTGGAATTTCAATTTGCATTTCAAAGATGGATTGTATTACACATTCCAAGCTTTCCAAAATGTCCAAGAACTCATCAAACAACCTCATAACTTGAGAGAATCGAATTTCACAATATGGCAAAAACTCACTTTTGAATTGATCATGAACATGTTCATAACTTAGGCCATTTTCAAGTCAGCATAGTTTGTGCTACATTACAGGTCCTAAAACCCTTTGACACTCAATAATTTAATGCCAAACCTTTGTGCCAAAACCATGTTTTGTGTGTTCAAGCATTGCCTAGAAGATTAATCCATTTATAGATAAAGCATTATTTCCATTTTGAAAAAGTAGAACTTTATGTCCATTTTGCAAATCCAAGTGGTACAGTCAAAATCTTCTAGGCACAAGTTATGAGACACATTGCACTGATCAAGACCAAGGGTTGCAACATGTTATGGGGGCCTGCATCAGTCTAGAACATCAACTTGCCTTTTGTTGCTTAAGAAAGAAGAAACATAGCATAACTTGTACCAACTCTCATATCAGCTTACAAACACTTAAGCAAACTTGTGAAACACATTCAAGAGATACCAACTGAGCTAGTACACGACCCTAACATCCCTCATACACTCCCATTTCAAGAATCACCTTCAAACTGCAAGAACAGGGCACGGCCTGCAGTTTGAGTGCCATCTTTCATTCCTCTCAAGCTTTCTTGCCCAAACCAGTTCACACACCTTCCATACCATCTATGCAAGCTAACCAAAACCTAAAACACGACCTGTAATCCCTCTAACTGGTTCTACCATTTTCACTTTTCTGATTTGCAGGTGAAGTGCTCTAGCTCGATTCAAAAGCTTTCAAGACAAAGTAAATCTTGGAATAGCATCCCTGGACCTCAAGGAAACTATCCCAATCATCACCTTGCACTGAAAGCTTCTCCATTGCCAGATAGAACTTCAACTGAACAGGTAAGTTTTTGAATTCGTATCTCTCTTATTAGGCATTGTTAGCTTTAGGTTTGTGAAGAGAATATGTCACAATCATTGCCCTGAACATGCCCATATAATTAGATTTTATTTATATTATGTGTGTTGCAAGAATTTTGAGTCTGAACATGGAGGAAAATCTAGGTCAGGATTTGGGGGAGAAGAAATTCTCCCTCATCTTAGAGAGTTAAGACAAGTTCTGCATATGGTTGGATTCGTCTCTTAATGCTGAACATTTTTGATGTTATGAGTTTTCATTAAAAAGCCAGGAATCAAGATGTTTGAATCAGGGAACCAGGCGCGCGTTTTTTGACATTGTTTGGCCAGAGGTTGAAGAAAGGTTATTTGGGCTGGGCCTGTTTTTGCATTTCCTTTTCACACACTCTTTTTACTTCTGAACCCCCTAAGCCCATTTTCTTCATTTTAATGATTTTTTGACTTTTCTTTTTTTGGCTTGATTTATTTATTTTTTCTAATCATATAAAAAACATAAAAATAATTTTTTGTACCATTTTCCTATTTATTAGATATTTATTTGGTTAGACTAGTTATTTGAACATAAATAAGTAAATAAATATACTTTTATTTAAAAAATGTTAAAATGGTGTAAATTCATTTTTATTTTTATTTTGTTTTATTTTATATTCTGAAAATATTTTATGTGAAATATACTTTTTTTACAAAAAATTAAATATTATTAATTAATATATATAATGCATATTTTGTAAATAATATAAATAAATACATATATATTAGTATACTTAGAATGAAATACCAAAAATATACATATTTTTATTTTATTAATATTTAATACTAAAAATACATTTTTTTTACAAATATACTTCATTTTTATTTTATTTTTGTATACAAATAATAAATATTGTATATATTGAATAAATAATACATTTTAATTAATAGAATTAGGGTTTTTCCCTAAACATGAAAAACTCCAAAAAAAATAATACTTTCCTTTTCTTTATTTTGACATGTAAAAATACTTTTTTCCATACATACAAAAAACCATTTTTTGGCATCTTGCACATTTGTTCTATTTTATTTAATTTATGCAAATTAATCACCTTGTAAATAATTCAATATTGATGTAATAGTTTTAGGTTTAAATTCCTTGTCAAAATCCTCATTCGAACATTTGTACCCCCCTTCCCATATATGGTTTTGTAATAGCTTAGTAAATTTATTTTCGCACTTTATTACTTTCTAATTATACCATGTTAGAATTAGGGTTTGTATGCGAAAAATAACGAAAAAATAGTTTTGACCTAATTTCAAGATAAACAAGCATGAAAATGGACACACAAATCACACTTGCACCCCCTAGGGTATTCCACTTGTTGCCTTTCAAAATTGGGCCATATTGCATGTTAGGTCTCTTTGGGCAAAACAAACTAATCAAATGATCATAGTCCCTCGATAACACTTTCAAAATGTTGCCTAAACAAATGATCAAGTCCCTTAAAGAAAATGGCCAAAGATACTTGACACTATTGCAATTATGGTCTAAACGATGACCCGCGCCCGTCCCTTTCACATCCTAACATGAGATTGTCCACCAAATACAATGGTGGAACAAACTTGTTAAAAGGGTTAAAACATAGCAATGAACTTTGAGAAATTTAGGAGTAGATAACCTCTTAGTTACTTGAATCAAACTTGCAAAAACAAAACACTTGCCTATTTTCTAAAACACACCTCACAACACTTTCAAAACAAACTTTCAAAAACAAATGAAAACCTTTTCAAAAGACATACATCTTTGTATACATCCCCACATGGATCATTACAAAGGTTGCCACCACAATGGCTTCTTTTCAAAACATTTTCAAACCCACACACACAAGCACCATTTCAAACAATTGAAAACAAAAGGCAAGTGATCTAAGCAAGTAACTAAGAGCCCATGGATAACCATTGATAGAAAAGGGTGCTAATACCTTCCCTTTATATAATCTACTCCCCGAATCCAAGAAAAATCTCAAAGGTTTTTGCTGTGCTTTTTAAACCTTTCCTTAGGATAAAATAAAAAGTCGGTGGCGACTCTTGCTCAACCGAAACATTTGCGAAAACAAACGCAAAACCTCAAGTCAGTTCTCCCACCGTATCACATATAAAAATTGACAAAATAATATAAAAGCATGCCACTATTTTCATTACTCCATAACCAGCTTCTAGCACACATCAAAGCCTCTAAAGTTGTCCAATAAAGTCGACTACGATGTGGGCTTAAAATATGACCGCTAGTGCTGAATGTAGATTCTGAAGCTACTGTAGAAATAGGAATTGCTAAAATATCTTTTGCAATTGCTTTGAGTGTTGGATATTTGATGCCATTTAACTTCCACCACAATAGAATATCAAAATCAGGACTTCGCAGTAAAACTTCCTCTTCCAAATAATGATCCAATTTTGTTTTAACATATGAAGTTCTAGCTTTTTTTTTCCTTCCGAACATATGCATCATAATCATCTAAACCATCATTAGCCATCTGACTAGATTCCAACATTGGTGAGTCACCACAATTCTCTTGGTTCAACTTCAATTGATAATCAGTAATTAAGTCATAACATAGTCGTTGAATCCTCTTAACTTGCTCAAAAGAGTCTTGTTCATACAATTTTTCATAATAGTATTCAAGTAACTCCATTTTGTATCTAGGATCCAAAACACTAGTAATTCCCATTATGTCATGGGTGACACTCCAATATTTATCAAATTTTTGCAACATCTTGTTAGCCATTTCTTTGATCGATAAATTGGAAGAGTTAATCCAATCAAATATTGCCAATTTAATCTTACAAATCTCAGGAAAAAAACATGTTGGCAGTGGGATACTTAGTGCCATAAATGATTTCAGTGATTTTATTGAACAACTCCAATCTTTCACAAACATCTTTTGCAAATTTCCATTGTGAACTAGTTGGAACACAAGTGTATCGAGTGTCACGTTGCCTTAAACGACTAAATACATTCTCATACAAAATAGCAATGTCAGGCATTTTATAGGTGGAATTCCATCTAGTCGGACAATCTAAACTTAAAGTTCTAGTGCAAGAAATTCGCAATTGCTTAGCTGTCTCCTCAAATTTTTCTTTTCTTTTAGGAGTTGCAGTCCAATAAGCTACACTATCCCGAATCTTTTCTATTCCATCTTTCACTACTTCTAAACCATCCTTTACTATCAAATTTAATATGTGTGCGCAACAACGCATATGAAGTAAAGATCCACCCTCAACAAAGTACTTAAATGCAACTTCTCCTTAATTTTTTCCATTACAACATCATTTGTGCTACAATTATCTAAAGTGATAGTTGACAATTTTGTATCGATATTCCAGTCCATTAAACACTTAACTAAAGCAGCACAAAGTCTATCACTTGAATGAGGAGCAGGAATATAAATGAAACTAGCATCTTAATAAAATTCAAAATATGAAATAAATGAAGCTAACATATTATATTTATGCTTAAACTAGACATAAAAAATTGTAATTACCTCAAGATGAAACTCTGCAAATTCTAAGATCCATCCATATAATGTGCAGTAACAGCCATATATCCCTTTTTTTGATTGCTTGAAGTCCACATGTCTGAAGTAATCGCCACTCTTGCTTGAAGACTATCTAATGACTTTGAAGTTATTGTCTTCTATATCTCGTACACTTTAAATATCTCCTTCCTAATAGTATTTCTATAAGGAACATAAAACAATGGTTGTAGAGAAGCAACAAATCATCGAAAACCAATATGATCTACAATTGAAAGTGGATACTCATGCATAATTATTGCACGTGCAAGCTCTTTCCTTGATTTTTCAGCATTATAATTACCAACTCCCAATTCTTGCTTTCCTTGCGAGTTATTTGGCATGAGAAATGTTTGTCCTTTTGTAGTCTTGTTCTCATGAATTTTGCGATGAATGCATGTCTCCATATGTTGAAGCAAGTGTTTCGTTCCATTGCTCGATTTTCCACCAAGAAATTTCTTGCAATATTTACATTGAGCCTTATCCTCGCCATTAACTTTCACATTTATAAAATGATCCCGAGCCTTACTCCTAAGTCTTTCTTTCTTTGTTTCTGCCAATGCCTCTATATTATCACCTGTATCTATTCTATCAGTTGTCTCATCATTAGGTGTTTTAATTGTTTCCTTCGGTGGTGTCAGGCCATTAAGCGAAGAGTTGAAACTTTCTTCCATGTCGGGAGTTAATTGGTGTGCACTATCTTGTGAAATAAGTGGATCGATGTTACCAACATTTTCCATGTTTATCTCCTGTTGCAACATATAAAATATAGACGGTGAATAACATATAAAACATATATTGGAGGCTCATAATTCATATGTGCTCATGTTTTTAACAAATTTAATTTTAAATATACTAATAAATATGATACAAGCTTAAAAATGAAAACTTTGTTTGGCTTACTTGTTTTTGAAAATTGTTTGTTAGGATTGATTTCAAAATTGTTGTTTTCAAAACAGAAAAATGAAAACTAGGATATGTTGTTTTGAAATTTAACTCGGCTTGCATTTCCTCTGCTTGAAAACTAGTATATCAATCCACCAACATTGTATTCCTCGGCTTGCATGGTACATTGATATGTGATTAATCTGTTTTTTTTAAAAATAAATAGAGACCACATATAGCACATGTGACCGAAAATGGAGTAAGACAAGCTCCACACATAGTCTTGGAATATGAGAACAATGGAGAAAAAGTAGTTCAAAATGAAACATATCTTTCATATCCTGGAATATGAGACTTGTATTCATACTACAATAAAGATTTTGCTTAGAATAATTTTGCTTACTATAATCACATTCTTCTACAACCACAATAAATATTCAAGATTTAGAAGTAAAAATAAGAAAATAAGAAGAACAAAACTTACAGCAAAAATAATATTGATGAGGAATTGAGGACGTCAAGATGGTGAGCCATCCAGGTGAGATGGTATCGATAATGATAATGGATGCCTTCCAATTGAAAATGAAATGGTAAAACATGTTCAATAATGAGACTTTTAGAAAAGTGAAAGAGATATAACTCATTATTGAACCATAAAAGCTTGTTTTTGGATTTCTAAAAGTCTTTTAATTGAATAAGCCTATATGTAATCCAACGTAAATGTAATGAGATTGACATTGAGAAGTGGAAGGGTTATAATAATAATAATAATAATAATAAACGGGGCGGGTTTAGGGACGGGTTCGGGGTGGGTACTACACTCCCCATTACCTTCCCCATCCCCATATTTTAAAATCGGGGAAAACCCAAACCCGAACCCAAACCCAGTCAAAGCGGGTTTTCCCTGTCAAATTTGGGGCGGGTTCGGGCGGGTACCCGCGGGTATGGGTTATATTTCCATGTCTAATTTCAGATGTGTATAATTGATTTTGATATGTTTGATAGCTCTCAATTAAATTAAGGTATATATATCCTTTTTTGTCTCATATATTTTGGCTATGGTTCATTTTTGTCTCTTAATTTTAAAAACGGCCATATTGATCCCTTAATTATCCAAACAATATCACGTTTGTCCTTGACGTCAAAGGTGTTAGTCAAAGTCACTTGAGGATGCCTGATGTCACTTTGGTGGATTATTAATTTCTTATGTGTCTTATTTTCTACTTAGTTTGGAGATTTAAGGGTATTAGGGCTTCATTATCCTAATTTTTCAAAATTTTCCGAAAACAAAGAAAATGGAGTGCTGAGAACAAAGAGTTAGGAACGAAGGCTAAGAAAAAGGGATGAGAACAAAGATTTGATGGATGAGAACGGAGGAACTAAGATTGAATCGAAAAGAGGAGGAAAAATTTACTAGTAAGTCCAAAGTTTTGCCTCTTTAACATTTAGGGTTTAATGGGTTTTCAAATTTCACCCCTTTCTAATAAAAGGTTTAGTTGGTTTTCACTTTTCTGGGTGAAAACTTTCTTGTAAAATGTTTGATTTTGTGTAAAAAAACTCATTTTAGGTTACGTTCTCCGCATTAAGGTTTTTGTTTGTTCTTTTAGAAATGTTAGGTGTTGAATGATTCTCTGTATGATTTTGTGTTTATGTTTCTGCTATTTGTAAAAGAATTTATGTTGGTTCTAAATAAATAATTTTTGTTTTATGTGAGAAATGGATGAATTCGTTCATGTTTTTATTTACCATGGAGGTGAACTTGTAGATGTTGAGTATACTAGTTATGAAGGATTATTTTGAGGTGGGATATGATTTAGATAAGTGGAGCAATTTTGAGGTGGTAGAGATTATAAAAGAACTAGGTTATAACTATGCTGGAAGAAATGTGGTGTTTTTAAATTGCCAAAAACCATGTCAGACTATAAATAGGAACTAAGGACCTATTTAATACCAAGGTTGATTTCAAGGAAGCAATCACCATATATGCAGTCCAATTAGGTAGGGATCCAAAGTTTTCTAAACTTGAAAAATAAAAGGTTATGGTTTATGTAAGGAAAGATGTCAATGGAATGCCTATTATGCCAAATTATCATATGACAACTTCTAGAAATTAAGGAAAGTGGTGGATGTTCGTAAATATAGTCGAGCTTACAATGTGAAGATGATTACTACTAAATAGTCAAGTAAGAGAATTCATAACTCATTGAAAGATCCAAAACTGAAAATCAAACACATCAAGGAAAAGGATGAAAGGAAATGGAATATTAGCGTAAACAAGATCAAGGCAGTTATGGCTAGGTGTGCAGCCAGGGGAATAATTGATGGTTCCATTTTGGAACAATACAATAGAGCTTATGACTATTATCTATAGTGGTAGAAATGTTTAAGACCAAGCCATTGGATGGACTAGACTTATACAGATCAAAAATAAAAATCACCATCGCGCTTTATTATTTCCAAAGGAATGGGAAAAGAGCGAATAACCCAAAAAGAGGGGAGAAAGATTCAAGGTAAGGGGGTTGGTTATTAAAAAGGAAGGTATTAGCACCCTAAACATCTACGGTACTCTGTAGGAACATCTTTGTAAAATCTGTATATTTTGGCTATAAAATGTTGTATAAGAATAGATGGTGGAGGTGAGAAAATAAATATATTTTTATGATTTTTGCGCCCGCCGCGGTTGCGAACCTTTAGTGCCTACGTACCACCTTTCATGCAATAGGGGATCAGGGTACACATAGTTCACCTTTAAAAAAAAAAAAAACACAAGTGTGTTGGTTAATTTTATGAGATAAGACATCATCGTCATTGTTCGTGTGGAAAACATACTTACTACCCACAATCATGAGAAAGTAGAATTTGCATCATCTCAAAATGGAAGATACGACTTGGATTTTAAAATCAACAATGCTTCACTCAACACCCAAGTGGAAAATATCTCTCTTAACTATATATTGTAGAAGTAAAGTTGTTTACATCACTACAAGAATTGACAAGAGTCTAATATTTTGATAAAAGTTTAAAAATAAAAAGCCAAAGTGGCAAAATGATTTGAAATGAGATTGATTGACTTTTAGTCTTCTCACAAAAAAATGTCAAGGAATTATTAAGTTGATTGAAATTTGTTTATGAAAAATGTTTGGAAAATGCATGGACCTAAGTCCAAGTTTATTATGAAAATAGTTCAAGTTTCAAAACAAGAAGAGTTTTCAAAAGGAGGAAGAGGATTTTGAAATTAAAGAAAGATGGAGGAGAAGAAGAGACTATCCTAAAGCATAAGATAAAAGCTAGGGATAAGAACCATCTAAACAACAAGAAGCCAATACTTGACATTATGAGCCAAGATAGAATTCTCATTCTTTGGATTGAAACCAAACAAGCAAAGATACTAGACCTCTTGAGAGAACTAAACTTCAAGTGTATTAAGTCTTCACAAAAATTAGGCAGAGTAACGGCTGTATACGGGTGAATTCCAGATTACAAACAAAGAGTGCAATCACATTAACCTTCACACAAAACAAACAAACAACCCAATGTCTTGAGGTAAAACTCAAGAACTCCAGACAAAATATCAATTAAGGTCACAAGGTCTCCAACATATACCAAGGTTTCTATTCCTAAGTCCAAGAAGTCTAATACTCCATAATGCCAAGGATAGTAACCAAATAGTCCAAGTATCATTAAAGCATTTTATGGTTCATGTTGATTATTAGGTGTCTTAAAAGAGAAAATAAGAGCCCAAGTGAGTAAAATAAAAATGACAAGAATATAAATGCTCAAGTGAGCAAAATAAAAACGGCA